CTTATGCCTTCCCCCCCCCCCGGCCACCACCTTTCCATTGTTTTCTTTTTAAAATCGCTTCTCAGTTCATGGTCTTTTCAGGCCCATTTAAAAGCTGTGTAGCCTGCGATAATGAGGTCCTGCTCTCTGATGGGCTTCCTAAATGCCTTTTTTGCCTCGGTGAGGCCATCAAGCTTCCTCGTTCCCTCACTGCAAAAACTTTGCTGAGTTCTCTACAGTCACCTCTCTAGACTCAAGCTTTGACTCTGAGAGCAATTTCTAAAGCCATGGATAAAGCTGTTTCCAGAGTGACAAATCAGCGCCCGTCAGCTACTCCATCTCGTTCCATTCATCGATAACCACATATGTTGCTGCAAGTTACTCCAGAACTCGCCTCCCAGCTTGCATGGTGGCACTCCGCTCAGAACCTGATGATGGGATGGCCCTTTCAACAAACCCACCCACAAATCCAGGTTACTACAGATGCCAGCCTTACCAGCTGGGGTGCCCATAACAGCCCTGCAAATCCGTGCCCGGTGGTCACAAAGAGAGAAATTCCTCTGTATCAATGAGCTAGAACTCTTAACACTAATAAAAGCTTGCAGAGCTTTCAGAAACAATCTGGTGGACAAAATGGTTCAAATAGCCACAGACACCACCACCATATTCTCCAACAAGGGGACACTCACTCCCCAAGTCTTTTATACCTTGCTGTTGACCTGTGGGAATGGTGCCTCTCTCATCACATTTGTCTAACGGCAGTACATATAGCCGGTCAAGACAACAATCTGGCAGATTTGCTCAGTCGGAAAAAAAAAATCACAAGCCCACAAATGGGAGCTAGATCAATCTGTTTTTCTCTCCCTGTGCAAACGATGGGGCACACGCAACATCAACCTCTTTGCCTCCCAGCTAAACTAGAAATACAAGCGTTAATGCCCCACGCAGGAGTAGGCAAGAACTCCCGCCCAAACACATTCATTGGCCGTTGGCCCAAGTCACTCATTTACCTTCTTCAACTGTTCCCACTCCTCCACAAAGCTGTAGTCCGGTTTCACCAGGACGGATTAGCTCCATGGTGGCTGCAACAGCCGTGGTTCCCAATTCTCCACCAGCTGTCGTCCAACATTTATCACCTGCCCTGTCTACCTGACCTGCTCATACGGAACAGAAATCAAATTCTCCACCCAGATCTCCCTGCTGTTCATCTCGCAGCATGGAGGATTCGGCCTCACTGATTAATGTTATTCATCATGCAAGGAAACCTTCAACCAGGAAGGCCTATATTATAAATGGAAACAAAATTCAAGCTTTTACTGCAGCAGCATCTTTTTCCTCAAGCAACTCCTCTTTTACCACTGTCTTATATTTTTTTAATTGCAGTTAAAAACTAAGGGTCTTTCTCTCTTGTCCCTCAGGGTCTACCTTTCTGCAGCTGTGGCTTATCAACCACCGACCTCTCAGGCAGCTAAGTTTTTCGGACACCCAACTGACCTCAGGTTACTTACCTTCAAAATGATGTGACCATCACGTCAGCTCAACATCCTAGTGAACTTGCGGCCTTAAGGTCTGACTACCAGACCTTATCTCCAGTTTTACCCAGATAAGGTTAAACTTTTTGTAGATATTTCTTCTCTACTCAAGGCTGTCTCCCAGTTCCACCTGTCCCAACCTTTAGTTTTTCCTCCCCCACCCCCAATCTCCTTCTACTTGTCAAAAAAGGATGCTCCATTCTCTGGATGTAAGACAGGCTTTAGTTTTTACATAGCCTGCACTCAATCCTTCAGATGCTCAGCTAGACTTTTTGTCAGCTACCAACCTCCTGCCAAGGGTCTTTAAGTTACCTCACAGAGAATATCTAACTGGGTTGTGTCTGCCATCCAGCTTGCTTATCAGCTTGTTCGAGTTCCAGCACCACAGAGCATCCACCCTCATTCTAGGGCGTTGGGGACATCTACAGCATATCTTCAGGGCTCATTCTAGGGCGTTGGTGACATCTACGGCATATCTTCAGGGTGTCGCCATAGCAGACATTTGTGCCTCTGCCACATGGTCACAGCCATCCATGTTCATCAGTCAATACAGATTGGACATTCAGCGGTAATCTAATGCTGCTTTTGGGCATGCTGTGTTATCATCTGCCTTGGCGTGACACCCTCCTCCGGGTATGGTAGCTTTTTAGTCACTCATAGTGTGATCCACAGAAGCCACAAAGAAGAACGACAGGTTACCTACCTGTAATTGTAGTTCTTCGAGTGGACCTCTGAGATTCACACATCCCAACTGTCACACCCTTTTCTTTATGCAATGGTTGACCTAACTGAAGGAAGAGCCTTGGCGCCAAGGTACATGTACCAGGGGGAGGGGACTATGTTAATGTATTTTGCTATGGCAGAAGCTCTAGAATATTCTGAGGAGGCTCCGCACATGCACGGGTTACCCATAGTGTGAATCACAGAGGTCCACTCGAAGAACTACAATTACAGGTAGGTAACCCGTCATTTTGCCATTTGATTTTATTAGTGGGGATCTTCAAGTGGTGGGCAGCGCCCACTGCACCTTCACCACAGCACAGAAGGCTGTTGGAAAGGATAACTTCACCCTTATTCCAGAAGGAACAAATGGTATTGAAGAACGGATGTCCATCATTTGGGAAAAATGTGTGGTAAGTTGTTCCAGAATAGTGTTATGCATGAGTACCATGTGCAGGCTGCACTTTGCCTGCGCCTCTTCTGCATGAACCAAAACGCTCTGCCATTATGAGACTGGTGTGTCTGGTGCTCCACTTTAGATTCATGAAGAAAACATTTAGAGGAGTGACATCAGAAGGACCAAAGTGGGAAATCAGTGTTATCTACAGTATCTGATGCAGGTTTGATTCCTTCCATGAGTTCTTACCCTTCCCACCTGATTTTTGTCTTCCTTTGTTAACTGATTGACATGGGAAGGAGCCACAAGGCAGTGGCTGGCTGTCAGATGGACTCATCTAAAAACAAGGCCATCTGCCTTTTTAGTTGATAACATATATAGAGGAATTTTTAGTCTGTAACTCTCAGGGCCCCCAATCTACCATGGTGAGGAATAGACACAGGATATTTGTATTTGTATCCCTGGGAATATGAATGTGAATATCCCTTCCGTGCAAACCAGCGAGTTCAATTATTGGTTGCCGCATGGCACACATGGCTGCATTCTACAAATGCCAATTGTGGAATAAGCCCAGCCGGCACTTCCCCACCTATCCACACAGCTGAATGCTCAACAGCTGAGGAGGGAGCCTTGACTTCTTGCTGGAGTGGTCAGCTGCACAGGGAGGCAGGGAAGTGCTGGCTGGGCTACTTCTCAAATTGGCTTGACAAGAACAATGCCAGCTGCATGCACCACATCACGACCAGTAATTGAACCTGCTGGTTTGGGGAGGAGGAACTAGACTTGCCAGGCACCTGTGGTGCCAGTTTTCATATTCGTATCCCCAGGTATACGGATATGAATATCCCATGTCTAGTTAGGAACTATGCTGGCTAAGGAATTATGGGAGTTGTGGCCTCAAAAAGTAACTTTTCCAATCTTAAGTTTGAACACAGCGTCATCTAATCTAGCATTTTGCTTTCATCAAAGTCTACCAGATGCTTATGGGGAGCCTATAGGCAGGATGTCTGGGCAACAGCTCTCTCTTCTCATGCGCACTATCATGAAAATGAACAATGAAATTTAGAGAGAAGGATGATACATTCAGGATAAGAAGACAGATTGAGGCCAAGTACCATGGGATCTCTTGGCATGAATGCACAAAAGGAAGGTGTATAAATTTTAGACAGAATTCAGATATCTTATCCCCTTTTGTGAAAGAGCCCTGCTTTACTTTTCCTGAAATGTCTAACTTTGCTGTCTTCCACTTCATTTCTAGTCAACAGGGAAGATGGATGAAAATGAATTTGTAGCAGTGACTAGTACAAATGCCGCAAAGATTTTCAACTTTTACCCCAGGAAGGGACGAATTGCTGTTGGTTCAGATGCTGATATTGTCATTTGGAATCCTAAAACAACAAAGATCATCTCTGCAAAAACTCACAACTTGGTAAAGAAAAAGAAAGCAGTTTATTTCTCTTTACCACATGTAAAGTTTCGTCATATATAAATCATTGATTCTGAGAAGCCTTTCTTCTCAGAATCAATTATAGGGTAATGGTGGTTTGATGTGCAGATGTTAGTAGGTGGTCATGATGAAAAAGATCACCAGTGTAATTCTGTAGTTTGAGCTGTTAAAGTCATGCAAGTAAGCTGGATATACTTTCTTTGATAAAGACAACTGTAGGTAGATTCAAAATTGGACACATTTATGTTTTACTGTGTTCAGTGAAATTGGCCATATGCTATGCTGTCAGATCCTGTACATGTTTACTGGTAGGTAAGCTCTAGTGTGTTTAAATTTGTGCACAAGAGTGTAGTTCTTCAAGGCAGTTCTACACATTTACTAGAACTCCAGGTAATTTCCATGAGATTCCCTCTCAAGTAACCATTTAACCAGAAGTAAGTACCACTGTGTTCCATGAAGCTTAATTGTAACTAAGTATACACTTGCAGACTTAATCTCAGGTTGAAATTAATTAATTATTTTTTAAAATAGTGCCTGGTTGAAGTTGTTGTTGTTTAGTCATTAAGTCATGTCCGACTCTTCGTGACCCCATGGACCAGAGCACGCCAGGCCCTCCTGTCCTCCAATGCCTCCCAGAGTTGGGTCAAATTCATGTGGGTAGCTTCGATGACACTGTCCAAACATCTCATCCTCTGTCATCCCCTTCTCCTCTTGCCTTCACATTTTCCCAACACCAGGGTCTTTTCCATGGAGTCTTCTATTTGCATGAGATGGCGAAAGTATTGGAGCCTCAGTTTCAAGATCTGTTCTTCCAGTGAGCACTCAGGGTTGATTTCCTTCAGAATGGTTAGGTTTGATCTCATTCCAGTCCAGGGGACTCTCAAGAGCCTCCACGAGCACCACAATTCAAAAGCATCTTCGGCAATCAGCTTTCTTTATAGTTCAGCTCTCACTTCCATATATCGCTACTGGAAAAACGATTGCTTTGACTATGCGGACCTTTGTCAGCAAGGTGATGTCTCTGCTTTTTAAGATGCTGTCTAGGTTTGTCATCGCTTTCCTCCCAAGAAGCAGGCGTCTTTTAATTTTGTGGGTGCTGTCACCATCTGCAGAGATCATGAAGCCAAGAAAGTAAAATCTGTCACTGCCTCCATATCCTCTGCTTTTATTTGCCATGAGGTGATGAGACGAGTGGCCATGATCTTAGTTTTTTTGATGTTGAGCTCCAGACCATTTTTTGCTCTCTCCTCTTTCACCCTCATTAAGAGGTTCTTTAATTCCTCCTCACTTTCTGCCATCAGAGTGGTATCATCTGAGGTTGTTGATATTTCTTCCAGCAATCTTAATTCCAGCTTGGGATTCCTCCAGTCCAGCCTTTCACATGATGTATTCTGCATATAAGTTAAATAAACAAGGGGACAATATACAGCCTTGTCAAACTCCTTTCCCAATTTTGAACCAATCAGCTGTTCCATATCCAGTTCTAACTGTTGCTTCCTGTCCCACATATAGGTTTCTCAGGAGATAGATAAGGTGGC